AGGGGCCAGAGCCATGCAGCTTTTGAGACCGGCTCCCCTACGACGGCAGAGCAAGGTGGACAATCACTGGGGGCAAACCGCTCAGGGACCCAGGACTGGACACCCTCACGACACAGTGACGCCCGCCCGCTCAGGTTGGGGGGAGGGAGCCCCACATGACACCCTCCAGCAGGTGTGAGGCCGGTACCAGGAGCCTCGGCTGGATGGACGGACAGAGGGGCCCCCACACAGCGGCCGCCGCGCACCCGGCTCTGAGTGCCCGAGCATGGCCGGTCCTAACAGAGGCCTAGGTCCGGGGAAGACCCGAACCAGATCTAGAGGACTCCGGGGGAAGTGGAGATCAGTGCACACTGATTATGTGTTGAAACATGAACATGTTTGTTATAGTTAATAAGCTCAGTAAAATTACCCGGTTTCTAATTTTTTTTTTAATTTTTTTCAACATTTCTTTATTTTTGAGAGACAGAGCATGAGCAGGGGAGGGGCAGAGAGGGAGACACAGAATCCAAAGCAGGCTCCAGGCTCCGAGTTGTCAGCACAGAGCCCGACGCGGGGCTCGAACTCACGGACTGTGAGGCCGTGGCCTGAGCCAAAGTTGGACGCTCAACCGACTGAGCCACCCAGGTGCCCGTTTCTCTCTAATTTTTAATGAAACTGCTAGAACATCTAAACTTACACATGTGACCACATCTTATTGCACAGCCTATTTTCCGGCAGTCAGACCAGCCACCCGTGCTCCCAGCAGACGGCTGGAGAAAAACCACATGCCCATGCAGCCAGGGAGAGGGCACAGAGAGGCCCCCCCAACAGGAGCAGAGGCATAAAAACAATAAAAGGAACTAAACTGAGATTCTGGAACTGGAAGTCGTAACTGCTAAAATGGGAAGTCCTTGCACAGACTTAATGACATCCTGAATACGGCAGAAAACGGGGCGAGCTTGCGGACAGGACACCAGAAAGCGCACAGTGTGATGGAGAGAGGACAGTGTCTGTACCCTCGCACATGATGCACAGAGACTCTCGGTCAGCTTCCGAGCGGCAGGAGGAGGGACGGTCAGAGGCCGTGTGGCCCCAGCCTGGAGAGACGGGTGCAGGGAACCAAGATGCCATGGGCTTCAAACACGAACCCCAAATCCAAAGTCATAACTGCAAATCAGAGGCTGTGTTTCACCTGAATCGATTCCCGCTCTGTAGGAAGTCTCAGGAGAGACTTATTAATTAGGAACGGTGAGAATTCTCTTAAGCAATGTTCTCGGGGGGGGGGGGTCCCCTGATCAGCAGCGTCTCCTGGGAACTTGCCGGAACAGCAAATTCTGGGCCCCACCCCAAATCTACAGAATCAGAAAGTCTGGGGTGGAACCTGGTAATTCTGAGTTTTTATGATCCCCCCAGGAGACGCACGGTGAAGTTTGAGAACACTGCTCTTTGGTAATGTTGGGGAGGCAGCTGTGTGTGCATGTGTGAGTGTGTGCACGTTTGCGAGTGTGTGCGGACACACAAGCGGCATCTGTACATGCACGCGTCTGTGCACACACATGCGCACACACACGCATACGTACACACATGCACACACATACACATGTGCACACATATACATGCGTGTATACACATGCACACATGTGTGCAGGCACACATGCACAGTGGGTCTCTGCTCGTCCCCTCTGCTCGTCTTCCACGTCTGATCCTTTAACCCATTTGTGGTTGCTGACATAAAACTTATGTTAAATGTAAGCCAATTAAAAAGTAGAGCCAAGTGTATACTAAATGACCCCCCCCCATTTTTTAACTTGAAATAATATCTACACATGCCCAAGGAGACAAAATGTCTAACCCCACAGAATAGGACCATGGAAGGTCACTCCTGCCCTACACTGCACACTTAGCTATAGCTCAGTTATTTTACAAGTAGAATTACTATTTTTACAATCATTGTTAAGTATTTCCACAAATAATCCTAACAGGAAGCAAAAGTCCTAAACCTTAAAAATTAAACGCCACTCGGCACACGATCAAGGACGGCAGGAGACCATGTCTGTGGAAAGTGCTCCCGAGACCGTAAAGCCCTTTGTAGACGTCCACGGAGACCATCACCCATGGTTCTGACAGATTTCCCAGACTCATCCGCTGAATGCGCTAAGTACTCATTAGGCGCCAGTCTCTGAATTAAGCAGTCCCCACCGTAGAGAGTCTCAGGGTGGTGCAAGAGAGCCTCTCACGGGCTCCTAGAAACTAGGAGTTCGGGGCAAGATCACGGACAGCACCACAGTCCACGTCCACTGCGTCTGCCACGGACAAGTTAGGGCCTGGGAATGGTGGGTGGTTTTAAGAAGGAGAATTCGCGACAGGTTAGAAGAAATCCCTGCATTTGGCAAACAAAGATTCAGAGGCAGGAAGGTCTGGCAAGGTGCCCCAAGTCGCTCAGTCGCAAGCAGCAGGGCTAGGGGTGAACTCCGAATCCGCTCAGGGTTCTGATCTGTGCCGCCAACGCTCCCGCCCCGCTCTGAGAAGGTGGAGGGGTTCACAGGATGCCCCCGCCCCACGGCACCCGCGTTCAGGAGCTCCTCAAAAGTAATGCAAACTGCTGCCCCCTCCGGCCTCCTCGGGGAAGTGCAGGGCCGCAGAAGCCCCCTCGGTGGCAGAAGGGCCTGGAACGGCCCTGGAATTCAGTGCAATTTTGTGAGCCAGACCCTCAAAACCAGAAGTCCATTTACACTTTACAGGAAAAAGGCTAACCAAGTTTAAGTTCGCAAGTGCCGAGGGCTAGGTGATTTGTTTTAATGTTTCCATTACTGCAAACTACTGATGAAGCAAAGCCCAGCAGAAAAAAACAGAAATCAGAAACTGAGCACCTAGAGGGCACGGCACACGGAGCCTTCCCCAGAGCCTACACCCAGCCCACCCCAACCCGCTCAGACGCTCCGCGAACCTACAGTGGGCAAAACGACCTCACACACAGCACATCCCAGAACAGAGTGCTGAACAGCTCCTGTGATCTACTGAGCAAGTGACACACAGGTGGCTGTGTGGGGGCAGGGTTATCCGCTGCGGACCCCTGTCCCGCATCAGAGGGGATCCTACACGGTACCGCCAGCCTGGGGAAAGGCCAAAATCCAAATCCCACGTACGGTTTCTCCTGAGTGCGTACAGCTTTGGCACGATCACGAGTCGGAAAACTGTGTCGAGCCGTCGTTGAGTCTAGCTGCACCCCCAATTCTACTCAGAACTCTAAGTGCTGGACTCTCTCCCTGAGATGGGCACTGTGCCCCCGGGGAAGCCAGCCTGCTGCTGCAAGGAGCCGTGGGACCCGCCCACTGCTGCCTGCTGCGTCCCCAGGGAGGGGAGGGGCCGGCATCTGCATCGAGTGGACAGTGACCCCGACCAACCCGACACAGCTATTGTTTTCGGAATCTGTAGCACTGCTTTTCTTGTCTCTCAAGTTTATTTATTTAGAGAACAGGAAGACATGCAGAGAGAGAGAGAGAGAGAGAGAGCGGGAGACAGAGAGCAGGCTCCGTGTGTCGGCATACAGCCAGATGCAGGGTTCCATCCCATGAACCACAAGATCACGACCTAAGCCGAGATCAAGAGTCAGGAGCTTAACGGACTGGGCCACCCAGGCGCCCCGGAAATCTAACATTTTACTTTCAAAATATCAGAGCACCTCACAGCCTACTCTGTCTTCCCAAGACTGCTTTAAAAAAGAACGTCTGTACATGACCTGGTGATAAGACACTTACTTACGGCCCTGCCTTGGTGCGAACGTCCCTGCCTGCGGGCACACGGAACTGTGGGTCTCCCACACGCTCCCCACGGCACCGTGGACTTCACTTGTCCTCAAGAAAAGCGCGTTTTCTTCCCCCACCAATCGCGGTTCCTCTCCAATTCCAGCAGTCTGACTGACACTCCACCCCCTGGACAGGTGAGCCAGAAGCTGACCGCCACATCTCCTTCACTTCCTGCCTCCGATGCACCACCAGGCCGTCTGTCCCTCCTGGCGCCTCCGGCCCATGTGCCTGCCCCCATCCCTGCTGCAGAACCCCGGGCACACAGCGCGCCCTCTCCTGCGTGGGCATCCCACTGGCTCAGGAAAGCGGACCTGGCCTCCGGGACCAGACAGCACCCGCAGGAGCGCACGCCCCGTTAGCGGTTCCTGCAGCACCATGAGGACAGGCGTTCTGAGCGTGCAGACGCGCACACGGAGTTGAGAACTTGCCCCGGGCTTCATGCCGGCAAAGCCAAGACCACCTGCCCAGGGATGTTCGCCCTGCGTAACTACAAAGGGCAGCTCGGAAAGGCACCTTTATGAAGGAGGTCCTGAACGACAAATGTGCTGAAACAGCTCTGAAACGCCCACCACGCAGGCACCACACAGCTCGGGGCCAATCAGGGCTGCAGATGAGGATCCACTGTGCCCTTCTGAGAGCACAAGCATCCTCTGGGCTGTCCTCCTGGAGGACACCACCCTCCCCCAGCCCGCTCCAGCCTCCGGTCCCCCTTGGCCTCCATGAGCTGCACACTCCAGTCCCCAAGGCCGTCCCTCATGATGACAGCTCAGCGTGCCCGGGATGTGCCTGGCTGTCAGGGTCAGGAGCCTGACCGCCCGCCCCATCAGGCCTATGGGGTCACACCCACAGGCGCCCCTCCACTGACTGTCCCTGTATTATTGTTGTCTGCTCCGGTGACCAGCTCTCTGGGGTTCCTTCCCACAGTGCTCGTGGGATGCATGGACGGCTGCTGTCTGAATCACAGCCTGTCCTTCCTGACACCAAGTTAGGAGGCACGGCCCAGAGTGCCCCATACTGCCCGGGCCCCACTTGGCCAGAATCTCCTCTCCAGGCCACCATGTTTCCCAATATGCTTCGTTAGGGTCCCCAGGTCATTAGCGAGTGCACCCTGCTCTCTGACCGGGAGCGAGCTGGCCCTTGGCTAGTGTTTGCCCATCAGAACTGACCGCCTATAAATTCCCCTGGTGATGCCAACACTGGGGCGCTGAGGCCACACTGACAATCACCCTGCCGAGGGAGGCAGGCCTGAGAAGCCGCGAGCTAGGACGCTTGCACCATACACGGTGCACGGGGTCTACGGGACAGGGGCCGCGCACGTGGAGCAGCGGGTCAGAGCTCCACAGCAAGGCTGGGGAGTCGGGCTCGCCCTGGGAGGGCTTGGTCTTGGGCGGGGGGCGGGCACACTCCGTGGTTTGCTGACCAAGAGGGCAGATTCAGGGGGACGTCCGAGCTGGCCCCACGCATGCACGCGGTAAGCGCGCCGTTGCAAGGATCATCCCGGATTCTTGCAAAGGTGTTTGTGAACCAGATTCCCACGGGCGGTTCTGCTGGGACGTGGGCTAACAGCTGATGTCCCTGCGCATCTGCTAAGGGCTGGTCACTTCCACCACGGCTGCCTGGCGTCACGGCCTAGCCTGTGATCTGCTGAGAGAGAGACCTGGGCACGGACTGTGCTCCCAACGTGACGCCGTGCTGCCTCGGGCCAGGCTCCAGGAGGCCAGGAGTGGGGCTCTGGCTTCTCCTGAAGTGGAGACTAGGGAGGTTTGGAGTGGAAAGAAGGCAGGATCACATGGACGTCTGAGAACACCTCGGGCATGGGGTGGAGAGAGGACTGAATGGCATTAGCCTGGAGACAGAACTGCCGAGGGCAACTACGTGTCCCGATCAGGAGGGGACACCAGGGGACAGGAGGGGACACCAGGGGACAGGAGGGCAAGCAGTTGGCACTGCTTCTGCAGCTGACTTTAAAAAAAAAAAAACTCAATTCGGTATTTACAGAGTAGATTTGAAAAAACAGGAGTCACGGCTGGAAGTCACGAAACGTTTACACACAATGACAAATTCGTTTTTGTTTGTTCCCATCCTAATCTTCCTTTCTCACAGCATGAAAGTACACAAAACACAAGCCACGAACGTGCCTGAGGTCGCAGGGAAGAGGGGAGAAAGGCAGAGAAAGAACCAGGCTCAGGAGCAGAGGCTGGAGGTCAGAGGTGGGCTTGGCTCTAAGCACCCCGAAGGCAAGCAAAGCCAAGGTCAGATCTGGCACAGCATTCCCGAGCCCCAAAAAGTTCCTTAGCCAACCGTCCGGGAGAAATGAGACTTTACTGACACAAGACGAAGGCAAAATTTCTCACACAGATCCTCTCACGTGTCAGGCTCCTAAGTGTAAGTGAACAGCATCCCAAAAGGAGGCTCAGGGACAGACTCCGTGTGTCTGTCCCCTCTCCCTCACTGGGAGCCACCGGCAGGATTCTGAAGCATGACTCACAGCCAGAAGTTACACAAACTTCATCCTGTTTATTTTGGCTCATGCTTCCCGCCTCCAGAGGTCTCTCTGACCCTGGTGTGCGTTCAAGGATTTGCTAAGCCCGTGAGCACGCGCTGTCTGCATGTGTGATAGGCGCCCACTCCCTCCTTCAGCCAAGTTACTGAAGTTAGAAACGGGAAAATCACGGGTCGGCAAAGAAACACCGGTGCCGGGTGAGGAAAAGCCAAGGAGCCTGGGTCCAAGGCCTGGCCACCCAGCCACGGGCATAGCCTCACATGGGGACCCAGCATCTCTGCCCGAGGGACAGCTAGGACCGGCACCCGCACCCGACAGGCAGGACCGGCTGCGGCCAGCTGCCACGCGGGGTCCCGGACACAATGCCTCCACCTACACAGGGCTCGTGGACACAGGACAGGGCAGGCTGTGCTGACGCAGGCGCATCCTTCCGGAATGCCAGCGTGGCTGGACGCGTTTGCCCACGACAGCCTGGGACACAGCTCTCAGCCGTGTCAGTGTTGACAACCACGTTGCTTTCAAGACAGGAGCCATCACAGGAGACCTGTGAGCCGTGGCTGATGGGCTCTGCTCCTCCACGGCCTGCATGAGGTGGCCCACGGCCAGCCACGCCCAGAGGAGTGCGCTCGCGGGCTCAGCCACCCTCGGGAGGGGCCAGCTCGCTGGCTCTGCCTTTCTTCCCACCCTACCGTGGACTGACGGTTCCGTAAAACAGTAAAAGACGGTCTTGCACGTTGTTACTATGACATTGTGTTAACACTGCTGCTGACCTGCGACACGGCAGCCTGCGGGCTGGCAGCCGTCACAGGCGGCACCCAGGGCACCATGTCCTCAGGTGACGCCCCAGGCCACTTCTCGGCCCAGGAGCCTGCAGGTACAACATGAAAGGACCGTGCCCGCACCCCTGCCAGGTGGGCAGTCCCAGAGAGATGGGGACAGGCAGACAGCGAGCTCCTTGCTCACATGACCTGGCTCACCTCTCCCACGAGCCCACGGGAGAAATGGGTGATTTGACAAGGAGCCAACGCCAGGCGGCTCTGTGGCCCCAAGGGCTCTGTTTCCCACGGAGCCGCCTGTGAGCTCGGCGGCCACACATCCAGGATCGCACATTCCCCAGAGAAGGCCGTTCAGACGGCGGAGGCACATGGGCGCTGGGGTGCAATTTGTCAAACGTTCTGTTCTTTGCCGTCTCTGCCTCCTGATATGGCACCAAGCAGCCAGGACCGCCTCTCCAGGCTCACAGGAGTGCAGGGTGGGCAGGGGCTCTACCCAGCAGGCGGGACAGAGAGGCAGACAGCAGGGAGGGACAGAGGGGCAGCCACAGGAAGAACTCGTAAGGGCCCTGCCCGGGGTGGGCGGCCTCCAAACTGAGGAACCTTCCTTTTTGCAGGGCTGGGTCCCACTATGGGGAGGTGGAGAACCGGGGTCTCGCAAGGCCGCATGCCCTTCCTCGGGGGCCTCGACGTGTCAGCGTCCCGCGGAGCCCAGTGTCGAGGAGGGGCGGCCGGGGCAGGGCCAGAAGGCTGCCCCAACCCCTCAGGACCTCCCGGAGGCAGGATGCCCACCCAGGCCAACTCTTGGGTGACCTGCCGGCCCATTCCTTAAAAGTCTGGTTGGCAAAAATACGTAATAACGTATATGATAACAGAGAGGAAAGCAAAATACGTTTTTCTCCAACGTACAATTCAAAACAAAACCTGAGAGTAGTTCAAAGCACAAAACAGAAAACTTTAAATGAAAACCGATATTCTGAAAAAAAATCAGGGTACTGACCCATTCCAAAGACAAACATACGTACTTTCCAAGCTGGTTTTAGGTGTCAGGAGGTTATTTTATTAGTAACGTATACAGGCAGCGACGACGCTTAAATATTAGATTTCTCTGGGATTTAGTGACATTATTTCCTTTGCAGAGAAGGTGGCCCTATGGCTTGGATTTGTACCGCGAGATATTTAAATAATCATGACGTTGCAAGCCTCATTTGCCGGGTCTAAGTCTTTACAGGCAAACCGCAGGGAAGGCAGGGAGACACCTACTGTCCAGGATCAGGTCAGAATGTTCCATGAACCCCACTAAACAGCACAACACGAGACCCGGAGGGAGGGACGGTGGGGGGAAGGAAGGGGTCCAGGGCCAGCCCCTCCTTCCCGTCCCAGGTCCTCAGGCACAAGCCAGGGCGGTGACCCCAGCTGCACCCAGAGCCGCTGCCCCCAGGAAAACAGGCAGACAGGTCGGAAGGAAGGAGTGTCGGCAGGAAAGATTTTCTCTTTTCCTTTCAGGTGCACAGATGCCCGCGGGAAGGGGCGCAGGACAGAGCCATGTTCTGGGCACCGACGGCCCATGCTGCTGCTTCCGGTCTCCCGGTCATGTCCTCAGACTGAGACCCCGCGTTCGTGTTCGGCTCAGGAAGGCCGGCGTTGGCTCAGCCCGCCCAGAGGAAAGTGGGCACCCGTGTGCTGACGTGTGTGGGTGGCCAGCGAGAGCAAAGGATCCATCACCCTGAAACTGTCATCCATTCTCGACAAGCCCTGGGGATTCTGGACTGGGCTTTGCCAATAGCCCGCAGACGGCGTCCGCGACTTCCCGGCCCCAGCCGTCCGCGGCAAGGATGCCGAGAACCTTCGCACACATGCTTGACAGCCTCGTGCTGCCCCAGCTCCTCATGTACTGTGACCTACGCATCCCCTCTGCTGGCCCTCCAGTGAGCCCTGTGCCAGGACCCCCGGGAAGGCCCTGTAGGAACCCCCACCTGGGCGCACAGCCCCCCACGCAGAGCGGGGAGACCCTGCCCGGGTCACCGCAGCACGCGGCCACAGACGGTACGGGGGCCCCAGGCATGCCTGCTAGAGATTCCCCAGCTCCTGGCACAGGGTTCGGAACCCCTCAACTGTGGCGTCAGGAAACGCTCTCGTTCAGATTTTTCTCAACCACTTAAAAGTGTAAAACACTGAGCTCACGGGCCAGACAGAAGCAGGCGGGGGCTCCTTCCGGCCCTGGGCCCTGGGCCCAGGGTCCACACCCGGTGCGGCGAACGGAGCCTGGCGCAGCCCCGGCACCCTTTGTTTCCGGCTCTGCCCTAGGTAACTCCTCCCCAGGCTTTGTGGCCGGACTGCTGTTTCGCAGGCCACACGCAGAGGCAGCCGATCCGGCAAAGCCTTCCCTCTGCCCTACAAATGAATGAAACAAATGTACGAGTTCACACGCTGGTTCCTCTGGGAAAAAAATCCCAAACTTCTTCCACGGGTGTTTAAAAAATGAAATCAGTGTTTTCCTTACTTTCCAGACCAAAAAAAACGGGACTTCTCCCAAGGCCGTTTTGTTCTGACCCAGAAAGCCCAGCACGCGGGGGTTAAACCGAGGACGGTTGCGTAATGACAGGGGCAGAGGACCCACACTCACCTCTTGAGCAAACCAGGAGGTCCGCCCCGCGTGGGCGGGCGGGAGGTCCGCCCCGCGTGGGCGGGCGGGAGGTCCGCCCCGCGTGGGCGGGCGGGAGGTCCGC